CACACACACACACACACACAGGAATACTACTCAGCCATAAAAAAGAATAAAATAATGCCACTGGCAGCAACATGGATGGACCTGGAGAATGTCATACTAAGTGATGTAAGCCAGAAAGAGAAAGAAAAATAACATATGATATCACTTATATGTGGAATCTAAGGAAACAAAACAAAACACAAATCAATGTATTTACAAAACAGGAACAGACTCACAGACGTAGAAAACAAACTTATGGTTACTAGAGGGGAAAGGGGGTGGGAAGGGATCCATTGGGAGTTCAGGATTTGCAGAAACTAGATATATAAAATAGATAAATAACAAGGTCCTACTGTACAGCAAAGGGAACTATATTTAATACCGTGTAATGGCTAATAATGAAAAGGAATATGAAAAGGAATATATATATGCATAAGTGAATCACTATGCTGTACACCAGAAATTAACACAGCATCGACTATAAATCAACTATATTTCAATTAAAAATAAAGGGCTAATAAAGATAAAATAAAATAAAGGAAACCTATGAGTCATTCCTACCACATCCCCTACCTGTCTGTATCCAAGTCACTGTGCAGTAGTGATGATTTTACCTTCAGTAAGAATCCTGATGCTAACCCCTTCTCCCAGTCTTCCCATCACAGCCGTAGGCCAATCCACCATTATCTTTGCTTGTTAAAATGTCATAGCCTCTTAACTGGTCTCCCCACATCCTCCCTGGCCCCCTGAAACCTGTTTTCCACCCCACACACAGAGACATCCTTCTAAAACAAAAGTCTTATCAAGTGTCTCCCCTGTTTAAAACCCTCTGGGCTTCCCATAACCTTTGGGATAAGGAGTAACATCCTCCATCTGGCCTGCAAGGTCCTGTATGATCCGGGAAAGATCTGCCTAGACAGCCTCATCTGGAGGCTGCTGCCCCAGCTCCCTACAGTCTAGCATCTTCTTTCAGTTCCTAGACATTGGTAAGAGTCTCCCTGCCTCAGGGCCTTTGTGTACGCATCCTCTCTGCTTAGAACTCACTTTTCACCTTGAATTTGTACCCAGATCTTAGCTCAGTTCCCTTTCTCAGAGAAGCCTTCTCTGGCCTCCTAGAGACTACAGGTCCTTGTTATAAGCTCTCTCAGCACCCTGTCCTTTTTCTTATTATAAGGAAAAAAAATGTGAATTGTAACTAGCACAGGTTGTAATGAAATATCTGTTCATTTACTTCATGTAAACCCACCTGTAAGTGCCAAAAGGGCAGCAATTACTTGTGTTCTGCTCAGACCACGTAGAATTTCCAACATCTACCACAATGCTCAGGCCCCACTAGGCTCTTGGTGATCATCGGTTAAATGAATGAATTAGTGAAGCAATTTGGAGAAAGGGGCAGTGGAGAGGTCAAGGAAATCTTCAAGCCACAAAAAGGAAATCTGATGATGGGAGATCAATGCTCTCTTGCCAAATAGCACATCAGGAACCTAAGCGATGAGGGTGACAGACTGTAGACAGGAAAGCTGGAGCTGAGTAGATCTCAAAGGTGGAAGCCGGTAGCTCTCAGCCCAAAGTGAGTATCAGAGTTACTCAAAGAATTTCTTAGAAATACCATTGCCAGGGCCTCTGCTTCAGATAATCTGATTTGTTAGATGTGGGTCAGCTTAGGGACCAGTCTTTTTACCAGCTTCCCATGTTTCTAATGTGTAGTCTTAGTTTAAAACTACTGATCCAGCACGAGACAGGATCAGCCCAAGGTCAAACAGTTGTTTGGTTTTAGAGTTAGAATTAACATCTAAGCCGCCTAACCCCAGACTTGGAACTTTCTGCTCACCTAGAAACCCGAGAGCCCAGGGCTACAGTGCACGCTGTTCTGCCTACACCAAGCAGACCTTGAATGGAGACAGAAAATTAATGAATTAATAGAGTTGTGGGGAAACCCTGGAAAAGCATAACTTTTAGGGCTGAACAATGAAGCATCTTAGAGTGGAGATGCACATTGGGATATCTCCAAACCCTCACAGAGATCAACAAACTCCACCCTCATGTGTCTGCTGCTGTGTAGTTCATGCCACCTCACAGAAACAAAGGAGCACTTTCTCTCAGCTCAACTGTCTTGAGATGGTGCTCTGGGCTGCTCTCATGGAGCTCAGCAACTTTTCTAGATCCAATGAGATTCACTGGGGAACTCCTACAACGACTAAGCGGCCTGTGTGTGTCCAGATTTATTAACATAATTGGATATAATCTGGAGGAAACTCTCATTCAAAAAGATACATGCATCCCAATGTTCATAGCAACACTATTTCCAATAGCCAAGGCATGGAAACAACCTAAATGTCCATCGACAGAAGAGTAGATAAAGAAGTTGTGGTATATTTATACAATGGAATACTACTCAGCCATAAAAAAGAATAGAACAATGCCATTTGCAGCAATGTGGATGGACCTGGAGAGCCTCATTCTAAGTGAAGTAAGCCAGAAAGAGAAAGAAAAATACGATATGATATCACTTCTATGTGGAGTCTAAAAAAAGACACAAATGAACTTACTTACAAAACAGAAACAGATTCACAGATATAGAAAACTAACTTATGGTTACTGGGGGGGAAAGGGGCAGGAAGGGTTAAATTGGGAGTTTGAGATTTGCAGATACTAATATATATAAAATAGGTAAACAACAAGTTTATACTGTAGAGCACAGGGAACTATATTCAATATCTTGTAGTAACTTATGGTGAAAAAGAATATGAAAATGAATATATGTATGTTCATGTATGACTGAAGCATTGTGCTGTACATCAGAAATTGACACAACATTGTAAACTGACTATATTTCAATAAAAATATATATACAAGAAACATAATTGGATATAAAAGTATTCATTTGTCTAAGAAAATCTCTGTGGGCTAACGAAGATTAATTGCATTAATCAAGTCAAGACCCTGAACTGGTGCATTTTCATTTTTCTAAGACTTTCAAGTAACAAAGAAGTAGGGAAAAAAAATAATTTCCTATTATTGAACCAATGTGGTGCACCATGAAAGGAGAATCTTTCAAATCCTGGTGATAAGGTTGGGAGCCCTGGATCTAATCCCAACTGGCATTCTACTGAATAAGAGGAACGTGGGTATTCCATAAACTCAGGACCATGGCTCAAGGGGTAAGGCCAAAAACCACGGACCTTCACTAAATGTTTTTACTGATGTTCTTCACTCTTCCAACCCCTTACAGCAGCATTCTTAAGCCCCTTGCCTCACCAAGAAAAGAACACTTGAAAATCAAGAATTTTCTATTTAGGCCAGAGTGGCTTTAATCAAAGTAGAAGGCAAAAGGGTCAAAATGCCAAAGGGGAAAAGAAAGGAACAGTAGAGAAAACAGAAGCATCGACAGTGCACTCAACTATAATTATGCTCCATTCAGTCCTCAGGCAAGGGGAGGGGTCTCCTAATAATAATAAAGATTATAGGGGTCAAAGGAACAGATCTGTACGTAATTAGTCTGGCCCCAAAGAGAAAGACACACATAGGGAGGTAATCACTTGTTCAGCATCACCCAACCCCTAGGCCAGAAGGCTATCTACATTCTAGATCCAGAAAATCCCTCAAGTAAGTTTGAAACAAAGCAAGGTTGGAAAAGAATGCATCTGGGACACAGGGTCAGGATCATTGGGAAAAGTCCAGCCACCCCCAACTCGTTCAGGTTTACCCATTTCCTGCATGCCGAGTCACTCACCCGTCTCACTCAGGCATCTCCTAAATGTCCGTATGTCCTGTCGTGTGGTCCTTACACCAGGGACAACCATCATGCCCAGTCTGAGATGCGTAGCGCACAACCGCCCCCAAGCGCAGCTGCGCCCCCTCTGAGACAGCCCTGCCACACTCTCAGGCTTGTCTTCCTCAGGCAGCAATCCTGCTTTGTGCGAGACAGGTGCTCTGGATACTCAAGGACACTCTATATATACTGAGACAACTCGAGAAGCTCTATATATACCGAGACAACTCGACTTTCGGATTCAGTGAAGCTCTGCGCCCTGTTCTTTCTCTGAGCATCCACTGTCTGTGGTCTAACTTGACTCTTACTCTTTGCTCCTTGACTAGGTAGGCAGTTTCTGTTCTCTTTCTGACCCAAACAACCCCTCTTCCTGGTCCAAGTGGAGCTATACCTGTGGCTGGCCCATCCTGCACTGGGCATAAATCTCCAGTCTCTGAGCTCTTGGCAAAATTCTTCTTCCTCTATCTTATGCTTTCTACCCGCATGCCTGCACCCCTTCTTGGCTGTTTTCAGGTCCCTAGGACAATAACTTTGGTTACCTGTGAACATCAAATGAACCTAGTGTTGAATGGACATGCTCTGGACTCACAAGCACCTGCTCGTTCTCTTATACCAAGGAGAGTTTGCTCTCTCCAACAGCAGACTCTTACATCTACTCAGCCGTCCTCATCTCAGGCCTCTGAAGGACCCCACAGAACGACAGGCCTACAAGAGTAAAAGGGACCTCAGAGATTTTACTTCCACCTGCTACCTAATCCAAGCACCCTTTCGCAGCGCATCTGACAGGTAGTCAGATGGCTGACATCATCGCCAACGCGGTCTTACTGACAGTGCTCAGAAGAGAACGCAGGCCAGAAGGATGTCCGTGTTACCAGAAACAGACTCAGAAATGAAGCTGGAGCGTGACTTTCCTTTCTTTAGAACAACAGGGTTTCCGTGGAAGGTCACACCACAAAGGTCTTGTCCTCTTTGTAAATGACAAGAAATTTTACAAATGTATGGCATTTTTAATACCAAGCACTCTTTCAAAGTTAATGGGAAAGCCATCACTCCTGAGACAAGTGCACTTTTACTCCTTAAGCCCCAACTCTGGTCCCCCTATCTCATGCCTGATTTCTGTCTGGGTAATGAGGAGTGGGCCCCTGCTGGAGCCCGATGAGCGGTACCCGTCCCGTGCAGTTTCGCTCTGGTTTCCAGCACGATCACCCCGAGCTCACCTCCCCTTTCATCCCCTTCTGGGAAGAGTCACCTGGAGCAGTTTCTGTTGGAGGATGGTGATGTCTCGGGAATTTGTGCGGTTGCTACAGCGGGACTTGAGGGGACGATGGATGCAGCACATGGTGAAGCAGATCATGTAGAGCACGTACAAGGTACCCAAGATGTAGAAATACGGCCGCCCATATTTCTTCCACTTGAAGCTCACCAGCTGCTTCACAGGGGTCTGTTCCAGGATCTGGCGAGCCTGCCATGGAAGAAGAGTGTAGCTTGAGGTGACCAACGTAGTGAGGGTGCCGGATGTCCCACTGGGTCCCAGACGGGCAGGGCCGTCGTCAGCACGACCATCCATTCAGTGAGTCTGGCGTTTCTTTTGCAGACAACTAGTAAACCTCCCCTATATGCTAGGCTTCGTGCTAGTGCCGCAGATAAGCTATTACAGAAATCAACACAAGGACCCACAGCCCCGTGGAGGCCCTGAAGGACGAGCAGCAGATGGTTGAGTGAAGGCAGAGTGAAGGAAGATTATTCCATGAAGTAGCAGCAGGTACCAAGGTAGGAAGGTGTGAGAAGACACTAGCAGGAGAGATGTGGTTGGGGACATGGCAGAATCTGTTGGGAGTGATGGGCAGGGGTTAGAACGGATGAAGTAGCTAAGGGTCAGATCATGGTACCTTCTGAATGCCAAGGTTGACTTTGTTTTCTGAAAGCAATGGGAAGCAATTGGTGGGGTGGGCAGGAGGGGGGGGTGCTAAGCAAGGAAGTAGTCAGATTTGCTGTAAAAGTGTTGCAAAAAATAATAATAATAATAATAAAAGAAAGGGCACCAAGGCATCAAATCTGAGCATTCTAAATCCAAGGAGGATGAAATGGTGGTAAAATAAAACTATCACCTTTATGTGCTTATTGTGTGTCAGGAATTGTGATCTGGCTGAGAAGCTATCTCTATTAATGTTCACATGTTTATGGAGTAAATTGTGCTCTACAAATTTTTCATAATGAAACCACTGGCCAGAGAGGTTGATTGATTTTTCAATAATCGGTTGGCTAAGAGTGGCAATTAATCCAAACCCAAATCTGTCTAACTAGAAAATACACACTTTGAATTAAAAATTATTGTAATATGCTTTCAATCTGTGTTTTGAACTACTAAGTCTCCTATGGAAAAGGACTTTTGTGTTGGTAGCATATTATTAATTGATGTAGATCTATTTTGAATTATCGTTTTCCATTACCTAAATTTACACTGATATTTTGGTTGGTACTATGAATGTATTTTAAAGTAATAAAGTTTAAAATATTTTAATCATTCTAATAAATAAATAAATGCATTGTAGAGAGGAGCAACAGAGGACACAGGGAGTGGGATGTGACCGTAATCCAGGGCACATGGGTCAGTGCTCGGATGTAAGTAGACAGAGAGGGAAAGATACTCGGGGAGGATGATGGACAGCACGAGGTATCTGAGAAAGCAGGAAAAGCCAGAGTCAGAGCATAGCTGGAGGGATCAACCACTAGCACAGAGAATATCTTTTTCATTGAATTTACAGGGAAGAAGAGAGACTGGGCAGTTTCCAGCTCTGCTCGGCAGGAGGACAAAGCAAGAAGTTGGAGGAGCTCCAGCCAGAGGGCCTCTGTTTCATCATAGGAATCTGGTTCTCCTGATGGAGCTCAAGGCAAAGGCAGTGAGGGATATAAAAGAGGCTAGAAAGGAATTCTGAGGGAATAGAAGAGTAGCAGACCAAGACAAAAATAAAACCTGGAAGAGAAATGCGAGAGCCAGCTGAAATTGGACACCATGGATTTGAGGTGCCACCATCCACCAGAGGGGCTGGGGTTCCAATTCCTGAGAAATCCTGCTCAGCGCATGTCTGTTTCCAGGGACACTCTCTGAGGAAGTTCATCTGTAAACTGGCCGCTCTTGCCCTGTCCTCTTTTCATTAGTACCAGCAATCATCTGGGTTTGACAGCTCTAGGAGGAGTCCTGGGAGATTGACAGGTGGCAGAGAAGCAAGGGGAACTACGTTTTGCCGTGATCTTGGGGGTTCCAGGAATCAGGAAGTGTTCTCCCTCTCCACCAGTCTTCAACAAATTTTCCCTTCCCTCATATCACTCGATCCAGTGCGTCTGACTGCGCTACATGTTTCTCCCTCTCTGGAGAGCTCTCTTTTTCCTCATCTTCCCGGTGATTCCCAGCACCTCCTTGAACCCCCCACTCAAGCACGTGGTCTGTGGCATCTTTTCTGGTCCAGCCAAGCCAAGGTAACTCAGCCTCCGCTTTGCGGCCACTGGGCACAGCACAGAGAGTTTATGTCGTACTCTATTACAAGTATTGAGGACGGGGGCTGGAAGGGGACAAAGCTGACTGACAGGAAGTGGGTTTCATTTATTTCCGTACTCTCAGTTCCTGGCACGGTGCTTGGGACCCAGTGAGAAGCTCAATATGCTGAATGAATGAATGAATGAACAATAGGAAGCAACGTTCCTTTTAAGAGTCCCTCATATGCAACATTAAAAGGGACAAGTGCTAAGCACAGAGAGAGAGGAGTTAGGAAAGGGGTGTTGATTGCAATTTTCTCCCAAAGGTCCCAGGAGTTTGTCCTCATCCTCTTCTCTGACAGGGCAGGGAAGTGTCTGGAGCCCAGGATCTCAGCCAATGGACAGGCTCTGCACGGACACCTGACAGCCCCTCCTCCTCCATGGTACTCATACCTCCCGCTTCTTGGAAGAGACCACGAGCTCTAGAAAGGACACATTCTCTCCCCAGGAGTCGATCTCTGTGAGGTCGTAGAGGGTGGAGGTCAGCGGCCCGCATGTCCACTGGATGTGCTTCCGCTTCTGCATCAGGTGCTGGAACATCTGAGGGGACACAGTAATGAGCTGCAGGGTCAGCGTGTAAGGAGCTGGTCAAGGGGAGCAGCACGGCTGAAGAGGGGCTGTTGCCCAGTCCTGGTGACTGATGGACAGCTGGGAATTGACAAGCCTCTGTTTCCGTGAACCTGCTTGTCATGTTTTGGTTACCTTTCTTTCCCACAAACCCTAACAAGCTCTGAAATGAGAAAACAGGCAAAGAGAGCATAACTTTGGGTTCCCATAGCAGATAATCGAAAGTAAGATTCTCGAATCCTCTGGAGTCAGGAATTCCCAAGACTGAGGACTTTAGTGACAGAGTCAGGAACAAGGGAGCACCACCCTTTGGGGGAGTTTGGGAAGAAGGGTCCTAAGAAGGACACGGTGGGGCTGGGGGAGTGCCCCTCACCACAGTGTTGCCCTCCACTCCAGCCAGCTTGAAGGGGGTGAGGCCCTGGTGATTGGGCAT